TACATACATACATACATACATACATACATACATACATACATACATACATACATACAGACAGACAGACAGACAGACAGACAGACAGACAGACAGACACATACACACTCACATACACACATGTATAAATATAATTATTTTTATACAAACATGAACAGATATAATGTAGGTACATGTGTAATATGTAGAATCATAGTATGTATGTTTGAGCTAATCTCATCCGGTGAGCAACGCTTGGGGGTGGGAAGATTTTATAGGAAATAAAGATACTCTTTCGTAGAAAATCGACTATTCCCAAGCTTTACAAAATAAGGTCAACGTTTTGGAGAAAGCTATGTTTTTATGTTTATTTATTTGGGGGGGGGGGTTGTATTGTAAAGTGGACTTTTCTTGAAAATGAAAAGACCCAGTTGTGAATATTAAACCAATTAAACGCTTACAGGGAACTTAAATTCAATTCAAAATGTACCGGTTTCTGTAGCAAAACATTCCAGTTTCAATAGCAGTATGCCTCCATAAAAGTCGACGGGTAAAATAATTACATTAAGTGGGCAACATTCGAGCTATGTCTGTCATCGAGCACCGATGTTCTTATGGAGCGTTTAAAAGCTTCTCCATGTTGATCTGAAAAGTGAAAACCCAACAGGGTTAAAAGAAACAACAAAAAACCCACAACCTATATTTGTGTATTGAATGACGTTCTCTTGCCCAGAGTTCTCTTTAGGAAAAGTTGCCTATGCTAAACGTGTGGTATAATCAATTAGCCAACCTGGCATTGTATTAGACATCTACAACTGGTTGTACTACTCGAATAAATCTGGCTGGTTGTTGGCCTGCTGAACACAATGATGGCTGCACGTTTAAATCTGTTCCTTTGTACAGACCGTTCTTTGTAACTTATTGTAAGTGACTTAAGTTACCCCGAGTGGCCTAAGTAGCCCCGGCTGAAGGTAGGTAAAACACCACATGGTGTCAGAAGTGTGTTATTACCGTTGATATTGATCTTTATAGAGTCTAGATCTAGATTTAGAGCCATAGTGTCAGAGAACCATAGATCTATGTCTAGATCTTGATAGAACCTTCTAGACTAGAGTCTAGATTTTAGATCTAGATTCGAGTATATACTGACAATGACAGAACAAAAACGATTCACGGCAAATTTGCCACCCCCAACAAAATTGGACTTCTCCAATACAACAGAAATTCACCAAAACTGGTTGAAATTCAAGAGGCAGTGGAATAATTATCAAATTGCTTCAAGACTAAGAGAAGAGCCAATGGAGTTTAGAGTTGCAGTCTTCATGACCTGCATAGGAGACGAGGCGCTCGACGCACTCGATGGAATGAGGCTCTCAGATGAGCAGAGAGAAGATCTAGATCAGATAATAAAATCTTTCGATGAGTATTGCATTGGCGAAGTCAATGAGACATTTGAATCGTACAAATTCCACAAGAGGAACCAGAAACAGCACGAAACTATTGATTCTTATGTCACAGAGTTGCGCCAACTGGCAAAACGCTGCAATTTCGTTGAAGAAGATCGAATGATTAGAGACAGGCTTGTCATTGGAATACAAAATGACAACATCAGAGAAAAGCTTCTAGAACAGAAGAAGCTCTCACTGGGTGAAGCTTTGGACATTTGCAGAGCACAGGAAAAGGCTAAAACTCAGCTTCAGGCAGTGTCTATATCCACTGAATCACAAGTAAATAAACTTGGAAAACCTACCAAGTACAGAAGTAGCCAGAACCACCCAAAATCGAAACCCCACATACCGGCACATAAATGTGGACGATGTGGACGTCAGCACGAGAGGGGAAGATGTCCGGCACTAGAGGCAATTTGCCATTCGTGCAAGAAAAAAAGGGCACTTTTCAAGCGTGTGTAGGACTCCCAAAACTGCTTCCAAG